AATAACAAAACTATACAACAAAAGCCTTAATCCCACTAAATGGGATCGACTACATGAATCTTTTTTTCTCGATTGTGTCATATTTAGTGCCATATTTTCATGTAGTTTTAATAAATTAAGATTATTTTTTTATGCAATAAGCCCAAGTCTTCTTATGTTTGCCTCTATTTTTCTCAACATAAGTCGAATCTAAAACATCTACTCTCTTAATTGGTCGACTACAGAAGCGACAGAGTTGGTGTAGCTCCTGTGATGGATAAAATTAAAAAAAAATCATCTTAGATGATTTGATCACATTAAGCGTCGACCACCTGACGATCTGATTAGTTATTATAAGTATAAATATTAAATTTTGGGTTTTAGAAATATAAATACAGAAAAACCATGTGGCATATTTATAAAATTTCTTTTATATTTTGACTTCGAGTGCTGGTATAAATTTTCAGGATGGAATTAACCTCTTTATTTAATATGAATAAATTTATTATATAAATAAATTAATATTAAAATAATACAACAAATCATTTGTCAAAAAAAATATATATTTTTTTTTTATTTTTTTTTATAGCGGGCAAAAGGATTTATTAACAGGGCACAACTATTTATCCATTTTGCAATTTAAAATAAATAAATTTTAGGATGGAGAATTACACCCTAGGTCGTTCCTAAATCCGCCCTCATAAGGAGAATATTGCTTCTGGAGTCCAAATACAAGTAGCGTCCGGACAATGAACGTGATACATCCGAAGGCCAAAAAAAAAGTGCATGTCATCTATTATCCGGATGTCGGACGCAATATTTTCTCCCTCATAAGCTTCGAAACAAACAACATCCAAATTATAATATAAAAAAATTAACATCAATGTCAATATTATTATTCTTAAACTTGTAGCATATTTAAATAAAAATAAAGTTAAAAATCTCCATAGAATTGAGTTCGAACGACTCACCCTGGCTAAATGAATTAAATAAAAAAGAAAAACACTATGAATCCAAACCAGGCAGAGGAACCAAAGTTTGTTCAACCAAATCTTTCTTGAAAGATAAAAGAAACATGCAATGTTCATTTAATTTTGCACTAAGCATTTCATAAAACAGTAAATCATGATTGCACAACATAACTTCATACAACAGTAAATAAATACCCAAAAATACACTCAATTAAGACCAATGCCTAGTATATTCCTTCATGCATGCACACAAACGAAATGAATGAAGAATCACAAACCCTAATAGCCCCAGGTGATTAAAGAGGCCCATATATCGTGAAAATCCAAGCTTTGATTGAACCAATACGAAGATATTATGAAATGTGATTAATACACTTGATAATGTGAATGTACCTTAGGCAGACTAACTAGATCAGATTAGATAAGTTATTGATTAGATGAAACATAAGTCGATTAACCATTATCACATGTTTTTATTGACAGGCAATAACCTTAAGTTGCTAATGTTTGCATGATCAATTGAATCAAATTTGATTCTAAATGATGATTTAAGAAAATAAACAGGGTGCACTTAGCAAAAAATTGTGCTCTTTGGCCCTGAGATTCTTAAGATTTCATCTCAAGAATCTAAAGATACATTCATGCCTAACTAAGATGCAATCCTTTGACTTGTATTCAAAATGCAATTTCAAGATTTGTTCTTTTTGCTCGACTCTTTACAACTTTCCTAACTCATGCTACCCTTATTTTGAAGGCCATAATAAAGCTAAATATGAGGTGAATCCCACCTGATCACGAGAGACACTACATTGGGGTCAACATATCATACTTTTTACACTCCCTTGGTGATTGAGGTTAGATATCCCCTTGCTATTTGTCAAAATATAGGATGGGTTAGGTTCATTGTAAGCATGTATTATGGCCAAGATAGCCTTGAGAGAGCTTAATAAATTAGATTGAGCTTGTCTTGAGGAACCCAAGAGTGTGTGCCATAATTTGTTTGATATTTATGGAGAGGCATACAAACGATATTTTGCACCTTTGTCGTTCAGAAGATTTGGCTCAAGCTATGGGGTCTCTATTAGATTGGGTAAAACTCAAAGTAACTCTTTCTAATCTAGTAATTATATAGTTAAATGATGGGTTTATGATGGTCTAAACGATCAACAATGCAAACACAAGTCATATAATGTAATCACAATATAAAAGGCATATATGGCGTGTTGAATTGTTAAAATTCAACCATGCAAACACAAGTAATATAAATCATCTAAGAGATTTTCCCAAATTTTTGTTAACACAACAATCTAATCACAATTATAAAAGGCATATATGGTGTGATGTAAGAGGCATTGCAACCATGTTGATATGTTTTATCCCGCTAAACTAAAAAAAAAAAAAAGGTGAATATGCACCATGGTTGTTTGAATCTCCAACGTGAAGTATATATTGGATTTAAGATTCCTATAAATGCAAACAAAGCTCATAAAATTATTATGAACTATTTTGTACCACCCCAGCCCCTCCCCTCAATCAAGCTGCACTTAATTACAAATGAGTGGGTTTTTCCACAAGACTAAAAAGGAGTATATGGGAGCTTGAATTTGTACCTACAAATACACAATTTATAAAATAATATTTTGATAAGTTCGCCACATGAAGTCGATGAATGTGCGGCGGCAGAAGCATGCAAACATGTGACGTGCATGCAAGCACTTGCAAAGAGGGGACAATACCCACATAGAGGGAGCAAAGTGCACAGAGAAAGTGCAGTTACTTATGCAGAGAATGTGTGATTGTGTTCATTGAGGGGATGATTGCATGGGTAAAGAGGTAGTGATTGCATGCATAAATAGGGCATGATTGTAGAATTTGTGAGGTATAGATCAGAAGATGAGGCTGCACATAGAGCTAAAAGCTTGTAATCAAGTAGTGCTACGAGCAAGTTGTTTGTGAGTGCTATATGGAAAAGTGATGATGGTATGTAATGATATTACATGTATAAAAGGATAGAAATGACTATTTGTAGGGGGGAGAGAAGTTGCACACTATGCTTCATTTGTGCTTATGCAAAAAGGCAGTGATAGTTATCACATCACTATGTAGTTCGTATGCCATTTTTCAATACTTACCTCTCTTTTGCATGCTTTGACCATGACCAATGTGTGGCCAAATTTAAATGGAGCCTAAAGCAAGAGAGCACATTTCTATAGTTGAAGGGGGAAAAAATAACTTAGGGTGCTAACATTTGCCATGCTTGCAACAATCATTCAAACTCAAGATAAATGGGACAGTGATTAGGATGGGGGAATCATTATTTGCCATTCTAAGATATTTCAAACTCATAAGAAATATTCCACCTATAATAAGTCGTCGGCACCACATAAAGAAATAAAATCTTATAGTGCTTATAGGAGATTATGGCGCGTAAAGACAACATGACACTTCAGTATTAGTAAACTCAAGATAATCATATTATATGAAGTTGATGACATACCTCTAACAGTTATATCTAATAGCCAAAGACAGCACAAGGGTGTCTACCAAAAAAATAACTAACATTCTCTCTCAAACATCTTTGAGGTATTATTATCTAAATATTATTTTGAAGGCTGAAAATTAGGGGGACGAAATTAAAAGGAGCTATACTAGAAGAGCAACTCCAAAACGATACTGGCCGCTTCTACAAATGAGAGTCGTTGTGCATGCAAGATTCTGTAGATCAAGTTCAATGGATGTGGTAGGCTCCCACAAATCCTTGGAAATCATGAAGTGAAAAAGACATTGCAAAATGCGTTGTTTTATGTTTGCCGGCTAAACAAACATACATAAAGTATATTAGAGGATGCAGATTTTGCAGCACATCCAAACCTTCAAACAGAAATTAATAGTGAACATGCAACCAACAATACCAAGTTGTCCGTACGAAAACGTCTTCATTTTTGGAAAGTTTGCAAAGAGAAACATGGGATATTACCATCTTTTCGTCATTGTGAACATAATATAAAAAATGATCATTCCAAGCAGTAAAATAATCTAGGAGGAAAAATCACACTGTTCTAATTATAAGCAATAAAATAATACTGATCTAATCATAAGCAATAAAATAATCATAAGCGAGGAAAAAATCATACTGTTCTAATTTTATGGATAAAATTTGAATTATCTAGGTGAATGTGTAGGATTAAAATACTTGAATATTGAGCTGATTTTGAAAGGCCTTATGAGCCACGATTGGAAGCTAGACTAATAAAGGAGCACTGGATTTCATCCACATATTGACAAACAAAAAGGTTGTGAAAAGAATCATGATGCTTTTTTATGAGGTTATAAGAACAAACGTCCAATCTGTTCAACCTTTAATTTTAATTTCATACGATCATACAGTCCACAACAAAGGTAACAGCCTGAAGTTTGTTTCACTAACCTACCACAAAACCCATTTATCTAACATTATTTTCATCTCTCCTAACAATTGGGATGATATTGATCAACAAAAGCTCAAAAATTTCAAAAAATCATCTACAAAATTCATAAAATAGTAAAGAAGCAACTACAAAAGACTCAAAAAAAATACAAGGTTAAATCATTTTGTTAAGACTTTGGAATTTTGGATAGAATGCTTGCAAATTAGAACTGTTGCTATATATAAAGATGTATATTTTTGTAAAGTGAAAAGTGTCAAAATAGTCCTTGACAATTTGTAGGGGGGGTCATTTTAGTCTCAGAGTACATAAAAATATAAATTTAGACCATAGGGGCTAAATTAGTGTTTCCAAATGATTATCTTAGCCCATATTAAAATAATATGGGAACTAATTTGACACAATTATAGACTCTGAGACTAAAATGACCCCATGTAAATAGTGAGAGAACTATTTTTGCACTTTACTCTCGGTAAATGTGAAGGATATGACATTTTTTAAGCCCTCATGTCTACAAGTGAGTCAGAAGCTTTCTCACAATCGATGATCTACTCTTCCAGCATCGAAGTTAACTTAAAATTGAGAATTCACTTGAAGCAGAGATTATGACCACCAAATATGGGGCGGAAGAGACATTTATTGTTGAGTTGTCCATTTTAAGAGATGAATCATGTACAACACAGATTATTACTGTAGAACTTCTTGCCTACGCTGTATTGATCATCAAGATTAAAATGGGCAATAACATGAACCCTTAAAAAGTAATTACTAAATCTAATAATTTAACAATTAATGGATGATACATACAGTATGTAACGATGAGATGATACCTGTTTTGAATTATCTTGTATTTCTAAATAGTGTACACATCCAACCCACCCGAACAGTGGCCTTGCTGAAAAGACTCGATGTATTAAAACCTAATAGTAACAACCTTCTTTGGCACACTTTGCTTCGCTAAATTCTAATCCAAGAATAGAAGTTTGTCTTCATTCATGGTAACTGATGAGAACATAACGTCTCAAAAGCTCAATCCTCAAAATCCATCTTTTCAGTGCATCAAAAATACTAAAATAAGCTAGTTAGTGCCGATCAGTGGCTGATAAACTTTTTAATTACGGACCTCTTCTTTTTGCTCTTCCAGAACTCATCTTTCTTACCTTTTTTCATCTTCAATCCCATTTTACTATTGACTATTCCAAGAATGGCACTTCTATCCCTCCTATTCTTTGTGGCTGCTTTTGCATCTAAAATAGCTCGCAGTTTACGATACGAACTGGCTTCTGGTACTTTCCCGCTCTTAACCATCTGTTTGTGATAATAGAAAGCACGAGTAAAATCACGAACACGTAAATACGCATAGATCATCGTCAAATAAGTGACGGAATCCGGCTTCAATTCAAGAGCAGCCATCTCTTTGAGTAGTTGTGGCAACCTATAATGTTGTCCACCCCTTGCATAAGCATTCATCAAAATATTATAAGTCACCACAGTTGGCTGGAGACCAACCTTTCCAAACTCAGAGATCACATCCCTTGCTTGGACATAAAGGCCATGTTTTGCAAATCCATCCAAAAGAATATTAAAAGTAACTCTTGTTCCTTCAACTTTATTTGTGATCATCGTTTTCCAGATTTTCATTAGCATTTTGGTTTCTCCGACACGTCTGAAAGCATCGAGTAGAGCCGTGTAAGTCTCTATGGAAGGAGTAATTCCTTCGCTCACCATCCTTTGATAAGCTTTCATTAGCATTTTGGTTTCTCCGACACGTCTGAACGCATCGAGTAGAGCCGTGTAAGTCTCTATGGAAGGTGTAATTCCTTCGCTCACCATCCTTTGATAAGCAACATATGCCTTTTCATGCCACCCACTGATGGAAAATGCATGAATAAGAGCAGTATAAGAATGAGAAGTCGGCTTGATTCCCGCCGCCTTCATCCTTAGAAATGAATCTGCAGCTTTCTCGCTCATTCCTTTCTGCCTCCCGTAAGCACTTATAAGACAAGTATATGATTTCACGTTCGGATTCAAGCCCAATGTTTGCATTTCAGAAAGAAGATCTTCGACTATCTCAGGTTGTATTCTCCTACTGTATGAATCCATCAAGATGTTATAGGTTGAGGTTGTTGGTTTTAGTCCTTTCTTCTTCATATCATTGAAAAGGCCTTCTACTTCTTCGACCTGGTTAGATTTACCATAAGCATCCATTAAAGTGTTGTATATAATGGTGTTTGATGTGATCCCATTCTTCTCCATCTCCGACTGAATGACGAGGGCCTCCTTCTTTAGTCCCTCCTCACAAAAAGTTTTTATCAATGCGCCAGAAACATCTGAAGTCCATTTGACGCCTTTTCGATTCAGGCGTTGGAAGAAATCCCAAGCTTCTTTTGCAGATCGACCGCTTTTTCTCATGGAAGTTATGAGAATGGAGCAGGTCGCGTGATCTGGTTGAATATTATTGGCTTCCATTGCTTCAAATATTTCCAAAGCATTATCATATCTGCGAGCAGTTGCATTATAATAAGAGCTCATGCCAATTCTCAAAACAAAATTCTAAGTGTTTATCTGAAAAAAGTTTCTCTCAGCCTAAACTTGAATTTAAGGAAAAATGCTATCGACTGATGAACAATTTACACACATAACACATGATTCTTCTGTATCGAAGGGTGTCCCCTGACCATTTTCATTTGTCCAAAGTCTATAAAAGTGTCAAATTAGTCTTATACTATTTTAATATAAACTGAAATAGTTTCCCAAAAGAATTATCTTGGCCCCATGAAAGCAGTTTCGGAACTAAATCGGCATTTTTATCGACTCTGGAACTAAAATAACCCCTTCAAAAAGTCGGGATTATTTTGATATTTTTCTTGCATTTAGGGTTGTCAAAACGGCTCGTTATTCGTGAACAACTCGTGTTCGGCTCGTTTGCTAAGTTAACGAGCCGAACACGAACAACACGAACAACACGAACAAATCTTTGTTGACATTTACACTTTACTTGAATTAAATCTTTATTTTTCTTTTCTCTTTGTTTGGCTAGTTTATACAAACATTTTTTGCCCTATTTAGTATCAAATATATTATAAAGATTTGCACATAGAAATAAAATATGATTTATAAGAAAAAGTTCTCCTTTTTACACATATTAGAACTATTTGTACACAACATGAAAACAAAACATGGTGAGTTAGTACTGCAAAAGAAGAAGCAGCAAAAGTAGAATCCCTAGAACCATAGAATAAACAGGAAATTACTACAAAAAAGAGCTACAAGAAGTTAATATAATATCCAACAAGAAGAGCCACAGGAAACTTCAGTAACCTTCCAGAAGAAGAGCCGCATGATTTACCTAACAATAACAAGGACGTTCCAAAAACCGTGCTTGCTTGATTGTAATATTTTCAATGATTCATTTTAAGCACCGGATGCCATGCAAAAAAAAGGGTGCAGCCACATAAAAGTAGTATTTTACCTGCTACAGAATGACAGACCAGAAATTGCAGCATTATATATCCTAACATCTCTAAACTGCTTCGTTCGTGGCAAATTCTCAAAGATAATCATCAGCTTCTCCCCCATCCCAGCCCTTCCCAAAACTGGAAAGAGCACAGCGCACGCCCTTGTGGTCACTAGGGACGGCTCCTGCAATCCCATCCATTCAAAGAGATACAAGCAGCTCCAAGCAAGGCCTTCCTCCCCCATCCTCGCCAAAAGCTCTACACATTCACCTTCCCCAATCTTCCCAACAAAAGAACCCATAAAATCTCCCAACGTAGAATTCTCAGGAAGATTCCTCGCGATTCGAAGGATATCTCCTAATAATCCATGCTCAGCAGGGGCAAGTGGAGCCTCGGAGTCCAATCGAAGGGTTTCTTCTTCATCGTCCATAAGGTCGGCTTCGGCAGAATCTATGTCTTCTATGTGCCAGCCTCTGCCCCCTTCGTGCTTGGGGTCCGAGACTGGCTCACGGGATTTGAAGAAACTACGAATAGGATCCAAATCCTCCTCGTCCACCAGGCCATCTTCTTCGAAATCCTCATTGTTGATCTTTTCCTTTACTTCATCTCCCTCGAAGAGCTGCAAATGACGAAGGAAGATTGGATCCTGAGGAACGGAAATGGCGGCTTGTGCGGGAAAGAAGAGGGGAGGGGATAGGGTTTTGGAGTGGCGTAGGAGAAGCCGGAAAGAGGAGCGGGTGAGGAGACGAGGAGTCGGAGGAGAGGAGGGAAAAGAAAGGATTTGGGAAGAGAGAGAAAGCTGGCCGAGGAGAGGAAGCAGCATCGCCATCGTGCAGTAACTACAGAAACGTGCCCATTAAGTCGTCTTTCGAACCAGAGCCGGACTGAGGCGTTGAGCTGCTAGAATGAGAGAGTTCAGGTTTAGGGTTGTGCGGCCCCAAAAAATTGCTGTAGGAGCCTGCTTGATGCGGTTGTGTGAAATAAGTTGTGTAATAATTATTTTTGAAGAAATAACTTTATTGTCCCTGTTTGTTAAAATTATTTATAAATTTATATATTTATATATTAAATTGATTAATATATGTGAATATATAAAACTAACTATAATTATGGTGTAAATTTAAGTATTTAGTATATATATATATATATATTATGATTTTGAGTAAGAAATTTAAATATATATTATATGATTTTGAATTTTAATCAATTTATAATACATTTAAAGTATGTCACATTATGCTAATTCTCTCTTTTGAATTCTTCAAAAGTTGATATAACTTAGGACATTTACATAAATACCACATAATTCTTATCTCAACATATTAGACACCTAAACTTTCAT